AATACGTCTATTACTCACACAGTATCAGCCCATGTTGTACCAGCCCATGCTGTATTCGCCCACAGGATCGCCCCATGGCCTCCTGTGTAGGCGTCACACCACATACATATCATAAAGCATTTGCACTTAACAGCTCCATAGCATTTCAATAAAATAGTACATGAAAACACATCATGCATATAAACCATCCCCCCATGGGACATGGTGGAACCAATAGTGGCTATACCGAGGACACGAAAGCTTACCTCTTAAGCAATACGTCCAAACCAAGAGCTCACACTAGCTCAAGCCCACAATCAGCACAATCACAATCTGTTTATACAGTAATTAATCATCAATAACCATTACTCAAGGTTACATTAAGTGATTAAGGGTTTTCATCTCATTTTAAGTCATTTCATGTTGTTTCTGCAGGAGGTATTCGAATACTCCACGAGTAGTTTTCGAATACTCCAGCTCTCCAGAAAGTATTCGATTACTTTCATTTAAATATTCAAATACTACCAAGTATCTGAATACTTTCCCCCCAGTATCTGAATACCACAGTATCCGAATACCAAACCTCACTATATTCGAATACTTTCCAGTATTCGAATACTTCTTCAAAGTTATCCGAATACTTTTCTTCCCAGAAAAGTATTCCAATACTCCTGCAAGGAGTATTCGACTACCAGTTTAAAAACTACAGTTGCAAATCTTTACCAAATACTCTAAGATTTTAATATGTTAAACTAGACATCTCAAGCTTTCCAACGACATATTTTATGTCTCAATCGGAGTTTTATAACTCCGGTTATGATTTTTGCAAAGTTCCTACAACAAGCTGAATTTCCAGCAATAGGGTCGCGACTTCAAACATAAACTGGGAGAAATACACTTATCCAATGGATCTAAAATTTTACAGGGTTGTAGACCTATGTGTCAGCTTCACATAGGTCCAAACCTCACTCAATTTAGAGCTCTGTAGCTCAAGATATCTCAATTTTACTAAACTAGGTCGTTGTTGTCTCGCGAAGTATTCGATTACTGCATTTTTCCAGAAAGTATTCGAATACTTCTTCGACAGAATGCAGAAAACTGAGTGTTAAAGGTATAATTGAACTTCAATGATCCAAACTCGATCTGGAGTCCAAGAACTTTAAAAATAGATGTTCATATGCATGTTACGGACTCTGAAACACATTTCTTTATTCAATTGATCAAAGTTTTACTTTTTAACCGATTAAACAAGCTTAAAATCATCAAAAGACAAAGAGGTGATCATGGTATACCTCTAAGCTCCAAAAATCCGAAAATGATACACCAAGGTTCTAACTTCAAAGATCCACGAAAATACACTACAAGGTTGGACCTTTAGACTCAAAGGTGGCTCCTTGAAGCTCAAAAATGACCAACAAAGGCTTCCTCACCCCAAACCAAGGAACTCAGCCCTCAACTCACATCAAAGCTGAACCTTCAACTCAGAAAAGGAGCACCTTTCACTCACACAAGCCCTGCTCTCATTCCCTTACACCACATTGATGAAGGAACTAAGAGTAAAGGTGGTCATTTTGGTGGAGTTTAAGAAGAAGAAGGCTATGGAAGGGTAGATGGAGGGTGGCAGCTGATGAAGACCAGAAAACTCACGTAGAGGCAACTAAATTAACCTAGGTCTTTGTGCCACAACGCTATTTATAGGCACGTAAGTTTTAAACACACAGTATTAACAATAATAGCTACGCTTAGCATTTTAATCTCAAACTTGGGATTTTGAACCTACTCATTTTCTAGGATTTGACATATTTTTATTTTATTTTTCGCAGCACCTTTTCGGTATGCGCTTTTCCATAGCCAGTATCAGTTCTGGCACCTGTTGTCATTATTTTGACCTGAAACTTGTTTTACCAGTCCTATATAATATTATAGGAATATTCATGCACTTATTATAATTTTTTGGGATACTTCATCGGTACGCATGTATACCGGGTAGTAGAACCAGTATCTGCACTTTTCGTCAGAAAAACGACTTTCAGCATTATTACTTACTTACTATAATTATTAAAGCCTCATAATAATTATTAGGGCCAATTATGGAATTAATTCCTAATTTCTCTTAATTAATTAATTTATTTCCTTAATTAACGATGCAGGTTCTTACAAAGAGAGAACGCGAAGGAGAAAGAGGCAGAAGTAAGAAGAAATGAGAAGGAGGAAGAAGGGAAATCAACGACTCTATTGAATGTCGGCAACAAGTGTCACGAGACACAAGCCACATGTGTGTCATTCTCGTCACGTTGCATGGCAGGTTTAGGGCTGACTGGATTGCATCACAAATTGTGACGGAACATGTGTATGACTCATCAATTGTAATGACGCAATTGGAGAAGAATCCTATATGGCATCCAGTCACATCTTGGTTTGTGATGGGATTGATCTCGTCAGTCAAACTAACGTGTTTTACTGCTCTACTTTGGGCAAACTTTCCAAATGTATTTTCGTTTGGAGATACATTTAAAAATTAAACGTAATGCGGTCGTTTTGCCCACTAAAAGACTAAGATCACCACAAGAGCTCCAACATACAATGATTTTTCCAACAACTAAGGGTGTGCATGACAACCTTCCTGAAATCAATTTTTTTTTTATTTTTTGCTCCCGGGAACAGAAATGGATAGAAAACTCGATTGGTAAAATCAGTTTATTTTTTTGTTCCCGGGATGAACCGGTTTATTTTTTGTACTGGAAAATAGAAAAAAGAATCAAAAAAATTCTGCTTTTTTGTTCTTGGGAACAAAATGAGAAACACTTGTCTCTCTTAATTACTCTCCACCACTACCATCATCACCACCGCTACCACCATCTCGACACGACCACCGCTACCATCGTCGTACCACCACCACCACCACCACCACGTCCACGTCACTGCCACCGTCATTAGCACCACCACCACCATCACTACTGTTACCGTCATCACCATTATCACTACCATTGTCACCAACTATCACCACCAGCATCATCGTAGCCACTACCATCATCACCGCCACGCCACCACTATTATAACCATCGCTGCTGCTGCCGCCACCATTACCACCACCATCACTACTGTCACCGTCACCACCATTATCACTACTATCACTGTCACCACCATTATCACTACCACCATCACCAACCACCACCACCAGCATCATCGTAGCCACTACCGTCATCACCACCACGCCACCACTACTACCACCATCGCTGCTACCGCCACCACCATTGCCACCATGTCATCTCCATCACCATCGTCGTAGAAACTGCTGTCACCACCACCACCACCATTACCACCACTGCCGCCGCCGCTGCCTCTACTACCATTGTCATGCCACTGCCACCTCCACTACACCACCGCCACTCCCATCACCATGTCATCATCATGACCATCGTCGCAGCTACTGTCGTAACCGCCGCCACCGGCACTATGCCACCATTACCACCGATGCTGCTGCCACCACTACCATTATCACGCCACCGCCACCACTATATCATCACCATCACCACCACTACTGCCACCACCACCACCATGCCATCACTATTATCACCACCATCGATGCGGCCACTGCTGTCACCACCACCACCTCTACGTCACCGCCACCATCACCATCACCACTACCATCACCGTCATCATCATATCACTACCATCACCGCCACCATACCACTACCACCACCATGTAACCATTACCACCACCGCTGCTGTCATCATTACCGTCGCCGCCGCCACTACCATGTAATCACCACTATGGCCATTGTCGCCGTCACCACCAATACCACCACCATCACAACACCACTACTACCACCACCGCCGCCACCACCACCACCACACCATATGAAAAAAAGTGATGATCTGAAAAAAAAATTATGCTTAATAAGAATGATTTTTTATTTTATTATTTATTATATTATCAAACACAATTCTCATTCTCAGAATAAAAATAAAACATACTATCAAACACATTTTTTTCTTCAGAAATTGTTCCAAGGCATAGAAATAGAAAAAAATTATTTATTTTCAGAAACAATGTCAGAAAACAGAATAATTGCCATGCACACCCTAAATGCAAATTGGTGAAAATTCTGGCATCCATCTCCTCCAAAAAATAATGAGATAACATAAGATAGAAGAAACTCTTACAAGAAAAGATATGTAAGATTCCAGCTTGTGTAAATTTTGATAAACAGAATTGATGACATCTCTGATTTCACATCAATCATTAAAACAGAGAAAACAAATATTATAAAGAAATATGCTTAAAAATTCACATTTGCGATAACAGAGGAAGAGTACAAACAAAAATTAATATTATTAAAAAAATATTCTTCAAACTGAGCAAAAAGGTACTTGAAGCAAGCTCATAGCGCAAATAATGTAGTTCTATATCCGCCCTTAACCACTAATCCGAATATCATTTTCATCAATTGGCATTTTCCTTCTATCCACAACAACTAACAAAAGGGAACACACTATATGCTTAAGCCACAACATCATATAAACACTACAGTAGCACAAAATCAAATAAATTCTAGAAAAAAATTTCACTAGAAGGAACCGTCAAACAACCAAAAGATGAAAAAATATTACAACTATAACATCTACTCTTGTTACATCTTCTTGCTTCCTTACAAATACTACATCTAAATCACTTGAATAACTGAAAACTTTTCCCTTTACAACTATTTTAATGATGGGGAAACCTAAACCCATCATTATTGCTATTAGGGAATACGCAGCAGCCACTTACGCAAACATGGAGCGCAAAACGTGTGAATTGATATTATAATATAAAAAATAAAATAAAAAAGAGTGTCAAATGAATAAAAAATATTTTCATATTTGAAGTAAGTATATTTATATTTAAATTATTTAAATAGTTACATAGAAAGTGTAGTAAAAATGAATACATATTTTATACAAACATTAAATATATTTTTTTTTTGAAGCATTAAATATAAGTTTCTTCTGAAGGAAGAAAATCTATTGTCACTACTTCTCTCATTTTATAGTAATGCGTTATGCCTTACGCACTAGCTTACATCACCTTCTTCATTCTATTTCTCTCATTCATCTTCCTTCCTATAAATATACACCAACTCAACAATTATTGTCACTACTTCAATTCCCAAACTGCACAAAAGCTAAAGAAACAAAAAAACAATTATCCGAAACAACACTTATTTGTATTGTGTTTGAAATTGGAAAATATGCAGAAAGAAGAACAAGCCATAAACAAAGAGTATTTGGACTTGTTGCTGTGTCCAAGCTTCAACAGCTACACCTCCGAGCAACTCGCTAGTGTCGCAGATCAAGTTGGCCGAGACCACTACGTGGCACAAAACGACGACGCGTTCAACCATAGTCAAAACGACGACACCGATTTCGAGTTCGTCGCGTTTCGAGGTCGTCGACCACGAGGTCTTCTTCGACGACACCGTTTTCCCGCTCTTCAACCGCGACCTTCTGATGGATCATCGGAGCAGCGTCGGAGTCGACGGCGCAAGCGATTCGACCGTTGCGGCTCTTCAGTTTCTGATGGCGAAGTTGTTGATCGGAGGCGGCGAGCGTGATCCGGTGGCGCCGTCGTCGGAGTCGTCGTCGGAAGTGGATGATTTGGAGGGGGTTCAGGCGGGGACGTACTGTGTGTGGACTCCGAATTCGCCACAAGCTTCGCCGAACAGGTGCAAGAAGAGTAATTCGACGGGATCGTCGTCCACCTCGAAGCGGTGGAAACTTCTGGATTTGCTCCGCCGGAGCAACAGCGATAGGAAGGAGTCGTTCGTGTTCCTGACGCCGTTGCCGTCGACGAAGAAGATGAAAGAGCAGTGGAGCTCAGGGAGCATTGAGGTCGCCGGAAAACTGTCGGCGAATGGTTTCGGCGGAAACGGCGGGGAGAAGAAGGTGGCGGTGTCAGCGCACGAGGCTTTGTACGTTAGGAACAGAGAGTTGAGGAAAGTGGATAAGAAAAGATCGTTTTTGCCGTACAGGCAAGACCTCGTTGGGTTCTGCTCAAAGACGTTTGGGAAAGTCCTTCCCTTCGTTTTGAGGAGTGTGCTTAATCCACTTTAATTCTTTATTATTTTATTTTATTTTATTTTTTTAAAAAAGAATATTGAAAATGGATCATTCTTTCTTTCTTTTTTATTTATATATTTTTTCCACTTTGAATTCACTCTTACTTACATAACACAATAATTGATAACTCTCTAGATCTCACACAGCAATGATTTACTAAAGGTTGCGTAAGGTGACTCTGTTCAACTCTGTAATATATCAGAATTTTCTTAAAAGGCTTCTTAAGGTTCCTAAAAATAAAGTAAGTTGATTTCAACAAATTTAAAAACCAAGGTAGAGAACATGGAATATGAGAATATAAAATGTTTTACTCCAATCACACGAGTTATGTTCAATCCCTAGCCAAAATTGAGATTTCACTGCCTAAGAGTATGTATTCTTTTATGTATATTAATAATAATAAAAAAGTATTCTTTTATAAGCTGTGATTTCAATAGCCTCTTCCACTCCCAATCATAAGTATTCTTCTATTCTAAGCTTCCTTAGTATCAGTTATCCAATCCACATATAATATTACGTGTGTAACCTTTTTAAATCTCATTTGGGATAAAGATTCATATGCCACATTTTTCAAAAAATAATATACGTATGTTATGTTCTGAATTTTTTTTCTTTCAAAATATCACACTTAAGTCTCGCTGATTTTATCAACAGAACCACTTTTTTACACGTGACAGAGTTATCACGTGTAAAAAGCGTCCCAAATAAGGGTAAATACAAAGTCTAGCCTAAGCAAATGAGGTAGAAAAGTTGAAAACTTTACCCATGCTAAAGTTCTTTAACCGTAAAGGAGATGGGTAAATGTTATCAAAAAAAAAAAAAAAAGGAGATGGGTAAAAAGCATAACATATGGGTAAGAAGAATGACTCTTTAACCAAATGGAGATTTTCGAACCATTTATTTCCTACTTGACATTCGTTTCCCATAATTTACCAACAGGGAGCGAGTTTGAAATACCCCTTCACCCTTTTCACTCTTTTCTCATTTCTAATTTCCCCTACTTCTTGTTTATTTTTGTTGTTTTCTTCTAGATATGGGTTAGTTTATGTAATCATTTATTACAATATTAAAATATATAATGATGCTACAGGATGGACATTTGAGGGGCAAACCAAAGGAATACAAGTACGATGTGGGTGAGATTGCATGATTTAAAATCAAAGGTTTCGGAGAAATTGAAGTTTGGTCCCAATCAATCGGTGTCTCAGTTAATTGGCTGGTATCATTCAATTGAAAAATTTGTTGTGCTGAAAATTGCTGCTGATGATGATGTTGATATGATGCTTAATTTGTTTCAACAATAGTCTGCAATGACGATGCTTGAGTTGTATGCTGACACTCAACGAAATCGCACGATTCCAAAGTCAAATTTGTGTAAAATTTTGAGAGGAGCACATTGCTACCCTCATTTTCAAGTGGGGAGCACTGTGTGAAGAGATCATCCCCTAATAAAGTGACAGTTTTGAAGCTTTGGTGGGTCATTAGAGGCGGCTTGACTTGCTTTGATGCTTGAAAACACATTCTAGGAGTTCTTAGAGATCATTTGTGGTAAGTGTTACAACCCTTGACTTGATTTGATGATAGATTGAAAATAGGTATAGATTTTGAATAGGTGTGAGTGGATTGAGGTAGTTGGAGGCATGTAATGGTAGTGTCCCTTTGAAATTTAATGCTCCCAATGATGAATGATGATGAATGAACCAATAAAAATTATTGTGATAAAGTTTGGTAACTTAGACAAATTTTGATGGATGAACTAGGAGTTCTTGTAAAACAAGGTGTTGAGGAACGATGTAAATGATTTATGGATGCCTTGAATCATTAATGATAAGGTAAAATGACTGTGTAATGCCTACGAATTGAGTGGAAAACCTTGTCCCCCTTGATATGTATTTTCGGCCTAGATGGAACGATCAGGGGAACGTGATGCTAAGCGATAATGTAAGGTAAATGAGAATTGTATTGGTGTTGAGAAAGGTTGTGTAACCATGGAGTTGATTGGGTGTGATTGAAATACATTGGGTAACATGTTGGACCTTGTGGCCGAACCTATAGGGTGATAGAGGGATTGCAATATGTTATTTGTTGTGCTTGTTGGACAAGTTAATTGATGATCATGTGTGTGCGATCATTGTAGGTGGCCTCCCTCGGACACGATTGTAGAGGACTAACTCTTGAAGCTACCTAGTTTGGGAGCTTCTGTTGGAATTAATGAACAATGATCTATTGGTTATGAATAAGAAGTGGGTTAATAAAGGAAAGAGAAGAGGGAAGTTGAAGAGGTGTGTGGGTTTTTAACAAAGTCCCACATTGGAGAAATAGTAAGAAGTTGGAGAGTTTATAAGCTCTCACCTCACTCTCCTAGATTGGCCCTTTGGGTCACTACACATTTTGTGGAGGGAGAGGAGCTAGGTGGGCTTTGGTCAACCACGCGCGCGCCGCCGCCGTCCGGCCGACCGACTCAGATCGGTTCGGTTCGGTTCGGTTGTAATAAATTATTCGAACCCAAACGTTTCTACCTGCTGGTTTTTTTGAGCAATTTTGAACCGAACCGGTTCTTCCCTTTCACGAACCGGTCACCGGTTGTGTTTGCTCTCCGAACCGGTCATCAGTTGTACTTGTTGGTCAGAACGATCACCGGTCGTACCTGTTTGCCGCCGTCAGACACGGCGGTTCGCCGCCCGGGGATTGTTCATCGTGACCGGTCAATGTCTATAAATAGACACTGACACCTTCAGAAAATGGATCCAATTTTTCTGCCCTAAAACTCTGCCAGAATTTTTCTCCTTCCGGTTTTGCATGTTCCTTTTCATACTCCGGTGTAATTTTTCCTCTAGCATTCAGTTGTGTTCGTTTGGGCTGTTGATTGGTAGTGCCACCATTCTTTAGACGAAATTCGTTCTATGGGCTCGGTGAGGGGGCAAATTGTCTTAAGGAGACACGTTCTGTGGGCTCAGATTTATTCCTTTGATGCTGCATATTTTATTCCTCTTATATCATCATCTGTCTGTTCATCATTCTGCCTCAATTATCTGACAAGAGTAAGTCTGTTCTTTAATTTTGATTTATAATTGCACAGTGATAATTCTGATCATCTACCTCATCTGCTTTATACATGAGTTCAAATCTCTTAGTGATATAATATCACCCACTGTCTTCAATAACAATCTTAAGACAATTTGGTGTTTTGAACCTGTGATCAGTATATTTTATATTTTTACTTTAATTATTACATTTGGTTATTGCATTTGTCATTGCATTTGCCATACGTAAAATGTCAAACCTCGGTAACTGTTCATAGAAAGTTGATATGCAACCTTTATCATCAATTACTTTTTGTTTTTCATTTAAAAAAATGAAATGGTTATACAACTTCTACGGTTTTTTGAATGCACGATTACTGGAACGAATTGCTTTTGAATAACATTTAAAATTTGCAACACTTGTGTATTCATTGCAATGTTGTCGGTTTTCATATTGATTTTGAGAAGTATATCACTTTTCGGTAACCGTTCATCAATATGGTATTTCAACATATACATTGAATTCGATTCACTATTATTTTTGGTGATTTGCTTTTGCTCTTGCAAATTGTATATACATATATATTTAATTGTTATCATTTGCTTCTCGACTATCGTGCAATGATTATGGTTGTCATATAGGTTTCCTATATATCATTGCTACTGTGTCGTGAGTTTTCAATATAAGCATAACTGTGTCGTGCCATATTGCTTTCAAGTAGAATTTGCAATTTGTTCTACAGTGTTGGTCCGTTTGTATATTAGTTTGAAAAACTTTTCTCAAATGTCATGCGCTGATTTTGATTTATATATATATATATATAAATAAGATCGTCGTCTTCTACATATATTTATATATGTATCACTGTTGTTGTCTTCTAATATACATATGTTACGAAAATCAAAAAAAAAAATGTTCCAATATTTTGAATTCATTGTTGGTCTCCGTCCATTGTCTTTTATATATATATAATTGACGCCACTGGTCATATAAATAGATAATATGATGTATGATGATATTTGACATTTATGCACTGTACTGTTATTCAAATTGTGTTTGCATCAATATAAGTGCTTTGCAATATGGGTACCTCTGTTTACATTCATGAAAATTGAATGTTTTTCTTTAGCATTTGAGAATGAGTATGAGAACGAGTCTCATCCAATGTTATGTATCTACTCTCAATGTATGGCTTTAAAGATTCAAGTTTGAAACATTGTGTTTGTCATCATCTTAAAACTTAGAAACCATCGGCACTTTTTTCTAGAAAGATAACCAACGAAACTTTCCACAATGCATGTAAAGAGTCTTGTGTAACTCCCTGTTGGATGATGCATGATGAGTTTCATGTATGGCTTACCTTAGATATTTGAATGGGCTTTATTTCAATGGATGATACTCCAATAGAGTTTGAAATATTGCAAGTATATGAAAGTGTTGGTTATCACATAATGCTTTCCATGGTTTGGCAGTTGTGTCGTTTGGTTTTATTTTTTTTTTATTTTCTTTTTCTTTTTTTGGAAGGCACTATTGTGGGGTAAAGATGGGAACCAAAAAATTTGGTTTTGAATTTAAAAATTTAAATAGGACTACTGTTTATAACTCCTGTCATGTGGTTTGGTTGCCACCGTTTTGACAATGTTTATTGGAATTAGAATGGAAAATGGTACGTAGGAGAAATGAGATATATTTGTGGCTTGATTTGATTGATTTATTATTTATGATGTGAAATAATCAATTCTTGTGATATTCATATGTATGATCTTTATATGTATGTAAATTGTGAATCCTTCTATGGTTAAATTGGAATTTATTATTTGATATATGTGTTATCGTCGAATAATGTTAAATTAAAAGTCAAAGGCATTAAGGAGCGATCGAGGGGGAGAGTATGATGACCCCTTCAAGGAATTTTACTTAGAGTTTGGTACTACACACCAAATGATGACTCTGTAGCCTCACAATCCAATAGGATTACTA